AAGGAGTTTGTTCTGTAAAGATACTTAGCAGGGAAGGATACTTGGTGACCTCAGCCATTTATAATGATTTGCATATCAGAAAATGCGCCTTTTAATGCTGGTTTGACTGTTTCCATATCTGCGAAACGAGAACCTGGTTGGAGTTATAATTATTTTTTCAATTACGAATTGCGCTGCGCGGAGGGTGAAAATCATTAATGAAAATTTTTTTATCTTTTCTAAATGCTGAATATGATTTAGATGGAACGTTACAAATACAACGTTATAATTTTCAAAATTCTCCTCAATAGCTTCAAACGGTAAAATAGATCAAAATGGCTGATTTTATCCACCTAAAAGTACGCAAATCTTCTACGAAAAAAGTCCATAACTGCCTTCGTATGATAGTTTCGCAGATTTCGAGCACAAATTTAGAATCAGCGTTTCGAGGTGCACCTTATGGTATACATCGCATTCCAAATGGCCGGGGTCACAAAGCATCCTTTCCTTGTTAGACTTTATGGACACCGGTCATGTTGCGGTTTGAGAAGCGCAACTAAAAGCTGAAAATTCTTATTTACCTGTTTTAACAGTCGACAGGTTCAGTTAATTATTACCAAGTACCGCGTATCTGCCTTTCTTCAACGATGTACGGACAGATAAAAAGCAAATTTCGGAGCTTCACAGCTATATCCTCACTGTAATCTAGTACGTTTTATTTCTTGACTGTTGATAATGCAGCCAAAAATATGATGAAGACTTTTGAAGTTACCATCGTGAGTAGTAGTATTACTCTTCTCCAACACTAGTGATAGTAGAATTTGATTTTGGAAAGCTGCATCAAGTCTTCCCTCCAAGGGTTTGGTCTTGTTCAAAACTTTTAGTCCTAAAAAAATTTAGTCATGACGTTGCTGCCAAAATAAGTTTGCAAATCTCTATCTAACAAAGGATGTTGTGAGCCTTTCCATATGATCGCCAAGTTACGTGCATTTTTGGGAGGAAAAATCATAGCAGGTCCAGATCAGGGTCGAGGTGGCTTTCCGAAAGTTTTTAGAAGTCCCCTTTGACCCTCATCTAAAAATCGAAACGTCGACTAAAGAAAATCTAAGCTTACTTGTGTCTTCCGACCGAAAGAAACGATCTCCTCTTTCTTCTTGTCCCAAAAACGATATCCAGCTTGTTTATAAGCCACCTATGCAAAGTCCTGATCCAGATATGATTTTCTCCGTCTTCCCGCGCATAAACAGTGCAGAATTAAGTGTGATCTCACTAGACAAAATTATTTGCTTACTAGATGCTCTAAACTTGAACATTGCTCTAATTGAGCAGTTCTAGATAATGGTGCCGGTCTCGCCTCATTCGCAATCCAAAAGAAACGTTTTTATCTCAGCGCCAACAATATTTGAAATCAACGTTTACTCCTCTTCCAGGTGATATGGGTTTTGTTTAAAAGGCCTACTCAATGGCCTACTAAATGCACTTCCTTTGTAAAGACTCGTGAGTTGCTTCTCACATGTGTTCAAACACGAAGAATAAGCGATCGATAAGAAAAACTACTATTATTAGTCAAACAGATGAATACAAAGGTTTTGTGCCTGCAAAAAGGGCTCTTTTGAAAAAGTGGGATAACTTAAAGCATCTGATGAAATAACTCTTCCTCTTCTCGTATTCCGTACATCTAACACATTTACGACCATGCAAATTTTTTGTCTGCCTTCCGGGACCAAGGCCTTTCACGGATCATTCAACATTTTTTAGATAGTACTGCCCCAGTATACTTGTAGCTCTGTGAATCTGACAAAATAGAATGCGTTCGATAACCACATGACACCCCTCAAAATGTTGAGTTTTCCGATTTATGGAGAGATGGAGCAGCACAATCACAAAAATTTTAGACATGTTTTTAGTAATTAATTGGACCACTATGTCCCTTTATTAATTCATAGATCTATTGCGCATGCTTCCTGCGAGGTTGTTCATGAATTCCGGCCTAATGCTGCTCCATGCGTCTATGACTGACATTTTCAGCTTTTCTATAGCGTCATATTGCTTGTGTCTTGCGTAGACAACACGTTGTGCCAGTACATATTCCCGAAAGATACGAGATTCAGGTCAGGGCTGCACGACGGCCATCGTAAAACCTCCTTCTGATGTTAAGGCAAAAAGTCAGTCGTTGATCGCTCACATGCACACGAGCATTGTCCTGCTGCAAAATGTACTGCAGTCCTCTGAAGTCGCGGAGAAAATGCAGCAGTCGGGTCTCAAAGATTTCTTGGTGATCTGTGCTGTTCATATTCGTATCAATAAAGATCTTTTCGTTTACGCAAAATGCTCCCCAAATCCCCAAATCATGAGCGAGCCTCCAATGAAGTTTCTTTGGCTGAGCAGGGAGGAGCCTTTCCCTAATCATGCCAGTACTCTTCTGGTTGTCGCATCCAAACCAAATTTTTTTCATCGGACCAGACCATCTAAACAACTGACCTTCCTTAGAAAGTACGAATGTTCGACTTTGATGATGTTCACCTTGCCCCAGTTTTTTCCCATGTTGTCTCTCGCATGTAACCGGCATACTTTTGTTGCCTGAGCGTCTTCCTCATAATAACACGCTTGATGTGCCCGGACATTCGTGCTCTCCAAATCGTTGTTTGTGACCAGGGCCCGGCACGAGGTGGGCAGACGGAGTTTTCCAAAACGAATTCCCCTTTGACCCCAATAGTTTTTACGAATACCCCCTTGAACCCAAAAATAACGCTTTGTGCTTGTGGAACGAGAGCACCGGCCACACTTCGCCTAAAAGCGCTCAAAAGCGCCCAAAATTCAAATTCCTTTAATCACCCCTCACCTGTATCAAGATAGAAAAGAAAACTGGAAGAAGAATAAGCAGAGAAAATGATGAAGGAATGAAAAAATATCAAAGGAACGCAGTCATAGGACTGAGAAACGCCGTTCCCGCGCGTATCGATTGACTGGGGCTCGCTTTCCATCATAGAAAGCTAGGCTGCTGATGCGATTTTGGGCTCTAACAAAGACAAAAGGAGGAGTTTTGAAACCAAAATTTCACCATATAGTAAACTTTAGGTGAACAACAGATTTATGTAAAAATTTTGAAAAAATTATGTGAATTGAAAGTTTTGCCCACCTCAGGTGGGCATTAGGTGGGCAATTGCCCACCTAATTTGGAAAAAAGTTAAGCACGCTCTTCACTCACATAAGTTTTTCATAATTTTTCATACATTGTTCCATAGTCCTACTGCGCGTATACACACCAAGTCTCGCGCGATTTCGTTTTCTCTGCGCTGCAAACGAGCCATTTTTCCATTTTCTTGATAGTGGGAAATTTTCAGAAAAAAGCTTGCCACAACCTTCATTCACATAATTTTTCAATAAAACTCCTAAGATAAGCCCTGCAGGCCCGTGTTCATGTAACTACCAAGTTTCATACCATATGGTCGTCTGTACGCTGCAAACGAGCCATTTGAATTCACATCTTCATTTACCAGTTTTGCGAAATTTTTGGAAAAAATGCTTATTACACCTCCCATCCACATAAGTTTTTCAAAACATTTCATGCTTTGTTTCTACTAGCCTCTCTTTGTTCGCTCACGTAATTTGGTGCTTTGTCATTACGCCTGCAATGAGAACTGATCATGTAATCATGCTGTTCAACGGCATCGCTCATGCGACGTCGGGCACGCGGCAATTAGCGGCAACGCGGCGTAGTGCGCGCAAAGTCTGCTGTGCGTTGAGGTTTATGAAAACTATTTTCCGATGATTCAGATGTATAAGGTAAGCATGATTCGACCTTCTTTTGCCTGCACTTGGAATCTTCTTCCTGGGCTCCGCCCCGGATCCCGCAAAAACGATATCCCTCTGCTTTTTGGCCCCAAAACGATTTCCAGCTTGTCATTTGCCCACCTCGTGCCGGGTCCTGTTTGTGACCAGTTCAGCTCTAGATCGGCGCGAATTTGAAGGAGCGATAACGTTGAGTTTGAAGCTCTGTGCGAAATAAGCTTTTCGTCTGTGTTTGTGAGCTTATGGTGCGGTCCTTTTTTTATTATGGTCGCATGTTCCTGGACTACACAGATACCAGCAACGGGCTTCGAGATCTTCTTAATTGTTCGGCACCTTCTTCAACGTTTTTCCGGCGTCTAAGAGCGACGATGGCTCCGCTCACCTCCAACATAGGAAACTTTCACAAAGCATATCGCAAGAAACAGAATGAACATTTCCAAAGTCATTCATTGTTCATTCCCTCGTAAAAACGCGTAGATCATCTACTTAAGAAGGGGTGTCGTATAGTTATGACACGGTGGAAGATAAGACAGGCGCCTGTTTGTATTTTGATAGTTGTTTTTTAACGGTGGATAAATTGTCATTGGGTGTCACATCAGATGTCGTCCATCTATACGCAGAGCAATTGGTTCCACCCTGCCAACAATAGAAAAAATTTAGCTTTTGAGTGGTGTCGTATAGTTATGAAACGCATATAGTTATGAAACACACTGTAGATGAAGGTTATTTTTGGATCCAGCGCAAGAGAAAATTGCTGAAGTGAGTTTGCAACGAGATGGTCGTCACTTTATTGAAATCAAGTTTTGACACACCATGCGTGTTAAGCGGTTCCACGTGGTATTCATAGTTTGACACACCATGTGTGTCAAGCTGTAGTAATCTATTAATTGATTCTGAGGTTCAAGAAACTTTTATGTTACACCTCAGAGGATATCCATCACAATTTCACACCATCTCTCAATGTGTTAAGGGATAAAACAATTATGAACTACATAAAACCAATAATCATGTTACAAAAGAAAATCATGGTCTGTCAATATTTTTTGTCAAAGTTACAGAAGAATGCGACGATGCAGCAATGCCAGGAAATTCATATATACTGTATCAATATTATAAATTTTACGATTTGGATCAAAGTTTGCCGCAATTTTTTGTTTTGCTTGTTGTGACCCACGAGTAGTGGTTAGGTTTGAGTCAAATGTGTTAGCAATTACTTCTGAAGTTTGCGAAGTAGCAATTTTCTCTTGTGCTGATTTCAAGCTAGCGATTTGCTCCCTTACTGTCTAAAGTGGCCACAAAGAAGTCACGGCAATGTTGCTTTTTATGAAAGATGATTGAGCGTCCTTGAAGCTGGCACCAGTTCGGCGCTAGTAGTTTCCCAAGTAGTAATGGAATTTGCTACAAGTAGGAAGAAGTAGAAGGTGAAATTCTGAAACAAAAATAATAAAATCGGGTTAGATTTTATTTTTATCGTTGCCTACAAACAATGATAGCTCAAGTTGTGCGTAGGTTTGAATGGGTCTGACGTTCAACGTAAACCGGTATGTACGCACGAGTGCGCGACAGAAGCGCGCACGCGAGCGATCGACTGCGATCGCCGCTGTCGATCGTGCGACGACGATCATCTTATCGCCGTTGTCTCAACGTCGTCTACGCCGCCCCTGCGCGCCGCCTAACGATCTGACCATTACGTCACATTCACGTTAACAAGAATGCGATCTCTCATCCCAGCTGTTCTATTTTTTGGTCTCATCGGAGGAATTTTTGGTAAGTTGAATTTTTTAGAGTCATCCATCAAAAGCTCAAAAAATCATCCAATTATACTTCTTAAATGTAAAGCACTATTTGCTCTGTTTCCTTCACCAAATCCTCGTTACATTCTCTTATACCGTGATCACTTTTTCTCTCCCCCCCCCCCCCCTCCCCGCGTTCTTCACTCTTTCCATAAATCTCGCTTGTAAGTGATTTAATGCGTATAACATGTGATCTCCCGTAGAAGCCTGACAAACAAGAGTAAAAAGAACTAATCAATGTCAAAACAAGTTCTGTCATGTTTGTGAGACATCTGCCACATTTGGAAACACTTGGCAACATTTTTTCTGCCCTGTATACTACTCTCACCTGCACTTTTCGATAGGTAAAAGTTTGTTCAGTATTGAATTCAATGAGGTATCATTGATTATCATTTTGTTTCAAAAAGATGTAATAGGTTCCATCAGTCAAGACACGCGAAGTTTTTGCAAATGATTGCAGCATCTCTTTAGACCGGAAGTGACCGGAAGTGACTAAAACTTCTCACATGGACTCACATCAAATTATCTTTCCTTCGTCAGCAATCAGTGAGAGTTTCGAAACAATGAAAGGGAAAACAGTTATAAGCTGTTAATCGCGTCTGATTGCTGACTATAGTTTTATTCAAAACATAGATATTCTTTGCTGAAAAGTAGAGTACGGTCTTGTGTGCTTGCAGTTTTACATCATGGAGAAAAAATTCAAATATCATGAAATTCCGAAAAACAAATACACCATTGGCATCAAATATCATGAAAATCGCTTTTTGCGTATTTGCGCACTGAATGTTCCACAAAGTATGTGTGCAATTCTGCGATGACTCAGCCTCGTTGATCTGTTGCAATATGAGAATGGTCAATAATCATTTTAGTACCAGTACCTGTTTCCTCTGCTATGACCAACTCATTTGCGATCGCAATGCAGCGTGAGCAAGCCTCAGAATTGCTTCGCATTACCACATGACTAGGGTATTGGCTCTAGTTCATTTCAATGATTTTGAACTGTTTGATAATTGAAGGGCTACCGAAAAAATTCGCTATTAGGGCTAGGCATAATCGTTGCGGTGCTTTTTCTCTTTTCGTCAAAAACTTGATATTCTTTCAAATTTTTTTGAAATATCAATTTTACATCAACTCCCATGGACTGATATGTTGATGACTCGGTCGCTTTTGAAACTACTAAATCTTACTAAACAATAGTTTATTATAGTATCAGACAAGCAGGCACAACTTACATCTTTGATTATCTCTTTAAGTTTACTCAATCTCAAAATCTTACTACAAAATCATAGGTTGCGGAAAGAGAGATTCCTCGTAAGCTTTCTCTTGCTCTGATAATGAATTATTCTAGCTTCTACTTCTAGCTTCAACCAATTTTGACTTACAAAACAACTGCATTGAATGCTACCCTCTTCCAAAAACGTACGGTTACCATTCAAGAAATAATGTAGATTCCAATGATGCGATTGATGTATAACCTGTATAATCTGCTTCATTCTATGGAAGTGATCTAGATCGAAACTTTTGTCCATCTCAAAATTATCGGTTACTCTTTCGTGGATTTTGGTGGGTTAATAGAAACAAAAGCTATTAAAACCTAATAAAACTTGCAATGCAGGAATCAGCTAAATTCCGCGGGCTTCCAGAACAGTTTATGTCTGTAATATCTTCTGTTTATGGAGGATGCAGTCCAGCCGTTGTTAGTGAATTTAAGTTTGGCATCTGACTTTGCAACATGTACCAAATTCTTTATTCGGTGTTTGCTGAGGCGTCAGGAAAAGGTAGCAGATTAGCATACGCGCTTTCGTGATAGGAGCATTTATAATTATTGATGAACAAGATAGTAAACATTTACTTTGAATGACTGCAAACTTTGATAAGTTTGGCCCTTTCATATGAGTGTGCCTATACTCCCTATGTCCTTTACCTCATGTAGTCGCTACACAGAAAGATTGGCAAGGCAGCAGATTTTTGAGTGACGTTTCTTTTCTCTTCGTTTTTGAACTTTCTGGAGTATCCAAGATCTGCTTCAAAGGTGCGGTTTAGGTTCCAAGCAACTAAGCTTGAAACTGCTTTGAGTTGCGTTATATGTCGCGAATCCATAGTTGAGATAAACTTCTGAAGAAAAAACAGCTGAAGATAGGTATGCTTAGCTGCAAGAAAACCAGATAAAGAAGTTAGTATATAAGGTATCTGTTCTCGTTGCTTATCTTGTGTATATTGCGAGTAATTCGCATAGGTATGGGAGTCCATCTATTTAAAGGCAGCGGCTAGGCAGATTCTCGACCTGAAGTTTTTTTGCTTACCTGGGATAATTCGAGGCGCTGATTGCAAAAATCTTCTTAAGGCTCCCGCCAGAGTGCCGAAGTTATGCCAGCGCTACGCCAGCATTTCGATCGATACACGCGTATTTCGTTGGGGACGTCAGCTAGCCCCGCCCCAATGAAATACACGTGTATCGATCGAAATGCTAGCGTAGCGCTGGAACTTCGGCACTCTGGCGGGGGCCTAGAGGGCGCGAAAATGGCAAAAATCACCATTTTCCAAAGCCTCCCATCTTGAATTTGGACGAGAGGAGCGCGTCCCGCTATGGTTAGAGAGGCAGAATCGTTGCGGGACCTTCGCAGTTATAACATTGCGGCATGCCTTCACTGAAGGTCAGAATCGCAAGCTCATCCGCGCGTACTAGAATGGCTTGCGCGTAACGCAGTTTTCTAGGCGCAGCATGCTGTGCGCTCGGACCTGCTCTGTTCTCATGTTTGGGGTGCAAGCAACCTCCCATATCAAAATTTTGGGATGTTCGGTTTTGGCGAGCTGCTGCCTTTAAATGCTGAAAAATCAAGCAGAATACGCAAGCGCATTGTGTAACTATTAGGGCGGCAGCCGTCTTTTAACGATACAGACCATCACCATAGTGGTCTTGTCACTAAGGTAAACGCGAGAAGAACTAGAAAATCGGTCATCTTTCTGTGGGAAACTATCATAGGTCGTCTTGCCTATACATTTGGTTCTCTTCTACATTTGAGTCCTGAAGCGTTAATTTACAAATTAGAGATAAATTGATTTTCAAGGCGTTGATCAGTTTTTTGTCAGTGCAAAGTTCATTTGCTCATGCGCAACGGCAAATCTACTACATAGTCTTATGTTCATCTGCCGTACGTGGCCGACTCAACACGATATCTTTGAACGATTTTTACTGAGCTTAATGACAATGGTGACACACCTATGTATTATGTATCAACCATTTTCTTGTAAAAATAACCCCACATGCAACGCATACATGAATTGTCACCAGACCCTTTCCATGAAGACTTCTGAATTTCTTGCGAATGCATTTTACAAGAAGCAAGACTCTAAACTTGAGCCATTACCGCTTATATGCATTTATTTTCGATGCGGATACACCTGATGCAACAGTGTATGAAATATGAAGAAAATATGCGAGTATAACCACACTTTCTAACATCAGTTTAATCGAAATGAGATCACATACAAGAAGCAGTAGAAGATTCAAAAACCTAATAACATAACGTTAAAAAACTCTTAACAATTAAAGTACACAACTTTCACCCCTTCGCGATTCGCACTGGACGCTTGGTTATGGCGTGGTTTAGTGTTGGATTATTATCCACAGCACGAGCTGCAGCAAACAGAATGAGCGATGGCACTCACAAACGCTCGCTCACCCTCCGTCGTTCCAGTGAGACCGGCGCTCGTACGATATCTGTGTCCGAGCAGCGCATGTTGCAAAAAGTCACATGCGTACCACGCTAGGGAAGAGCAGAGCAGTGGTGGTGCTGAACCTGATAGCACGACCGTATTGCCATGGGAGCACTTCTACACAGGACCGCAGTTGCGCGATACACACCTTGCGGCGGCTTTTGCCTAGGTAACTTGAAGGAAGGGAGTAATTTTGTCGCGTACCTGTTACGACAAGTCGCGCTGCGTGAGTGTTGTCGTGCGAAACAATTGCCTCCACAGCGGTGGCATGATATGTGGATTACACAATAAGTAATTATATAGGTAAAGCAGAATGACACTAGATCTTGAACAGTCAAGTCAGATGCCTCTTTGCATAAACGTAAGCCTTGCGTTTAAAGGCATTGTCTACCAAAAGTGGAGGTGTTTTATCCAATGCTATATGATAGAGTGTCATTCTGAGGTAAATGCTCAGTCGCGCCCGGATAATTCACCTCCGCAGCGAGAAGATTGCTTCAGAAGAAGGAGTCTACTGGTGGCTACCCTCGAGAATGCGGTATGTTCGCCTCGCCCATTCCGGTATTTTCCGCTGACGTTGATAGACGCATTTTGGCATAGCAAGCACGTCGAACTGCACACTGTGTAACTGTTGCATACAACAACAACTACTAATACTCATATCCACTCAATTTAATGGAGAGGCCCAAGAATGATAGCAATGAGCCGGAAGGGCCTTCAAGTTGTTTAAGATTACGGGGAAGGTAGCATATAACATTTATTGGTTTGATTTATCAATGTACGTAATGAGCACATGTTTCGTTTCTTGCCTTTATGACTCATAGAGGAAATTACATGTTTTCTAAAAAGCTAATAAGTTGGGTATGCGCCCTCTGATGTTTCTCTATTAACCGCAATATTCTACACAGTTGAACTGGAGTCATCCGAGCCTTAAAACCTGGGAATTCTAAAGATATAGCTATCTTGAAGAAAATAAGCCTTCATATCTTTCCGTACCAGCTCCGTCAGATGCACGGCGAGTTTGGCAAATGTAGACACCTTCCCTTCATAACTTCGCTTAGACGTTCAAGCTTGAATGTCACAGAACGAATGGTCAACGATAAAAAATGTGGGCGAGACACAACTAATAATTGAGACTATTTCTGTCCACCAGTGCTCTTAAAAAGTAATAAAGTCCTACTCAAAGCCTTTGACGTGGTTGAGTCCAATGTGATACCGTTGCCATTAGTTGACCAAGATAGACCCCTATAAGTGAGAACAGCCAAACGCTGCAGGGCTTTTAGACTGCTATTTTATTACTTCATCACCGTCCCATTTCAGAAAAGGGTTTGTCAGAGCTCAAAGCTGTGCACCGCACTGCAGTAAGTGATGGACACTGGATAAGAACGATATACATACAAGTCGATAGAAGAGTTCGGATCTTCACTAACGGATGACGTTGTTTTTTCTTGAAAAAAAGTTCAACGCTTAAGGAGTATATGAGGATGAGGGAACTTCAAGACTGCGGACTAATTCAAAGAAGAGACGACTACGAAACACGGCTTAAAATATGGGGTTCAAGCTGGAGGGTTCTTCAATCATGATTACCATCTCACACAAATCTAAGACTTTGTTAAATGTGGAGAAGAATCGAAGGAAAAATTTGACGACAGGCATCAAAAGGCGTCGCTTCGGGCTTTAGATGAACCGTCGATGAAATGATGGATTAGGTGTTACCTGTGCATTTCGACTGTTTTATTTTTGAGATGCACATTGATGCGCGAGAGGATAGAGTGGAATACACACCCGTCAAATACTTTCCAGATTCCTCCGTGCGTACATAGCTCTTAGAGAGTAATATCAGATTGGCATTTCTCAAAGGCAGTAAACTGCTTGGTAATTATCTACTATAAATTTCTGTTTTATTGTTCCTGTTAATATCCTTGCCTGTTTCCGTCGTTACAACAAGCTTTTTTCATTTGAGACTTCTCGCAATCCGTAGCGTAAGGTTCAAACTTCAAACAAAAACTTGTTACTCTGCCAGGAAAAGGTGTCGACTACATGTCCGCGTCGGTGGTCCAAATGTCAATTTTCTACTAGCCGGCAGCAACCTCAAATCCATTTCAAATAATCTTTGAGGCCCACTTCAGAAACCATCAAAGACGAGAACTTATCCATTAAGCGCAGCTGCGAAATTGAAAACACGGCCAAAGTAAGCAAGAAACTGAACGATCCCTGCCAGTAGCGGTAGCGCTTAGTAACAGACATGGCACGAAGGAAAGGTTCAACAGCCACTGAGATATGAACGCTTTAACTGCCGTTTTCGAAGAGGAACTACAATCCATATTAGCATTGATGTCCTTTTTCTTTTTCTCATCAACCTGTCTTAGCTGAAGATGTCATGATCTGAAGAAAACGAGAAGGAAATCCAATATGAAGTCACCATAAATTGATCTCAGTGTTATGTCACATCAACTCTAGGACGCAGATGAGCTTTTGGAGTATCTCTACAACCTTTCCATAAGGCCAGCAACTTCAATTTTAAAAAGTTTTCAGCCATGGCCAAAAAAGTTACCGCTTTCACAATTAGCGAGTTTGAGCAGTCAAGCTATAAACTTCTAATCAAAGTACCACAAATCATTTTTTTACAGGAGACTATCTGGACATCAATCAATGCTTCAAAGAGTTACCGGACTACGAAGTAAACAATGAAAGATGATGTAAAATGGCTTTTACGCGAACTTTCAGCTCACGGTCGATACAACGGGAGTCGAAGCCGTAGAGTTCAAGGATGACTGTTTACGTGCATGTTTGCGCAGTCAACTGCGAGGAAAGGCATGTGCCGGCGTTGAACATCGCGCCAAGGACAACGTAATCAGCATTCTTGGAAGGGCTTCTTAAGAACTTTGCATTCTTTTTAGGACTGTATACTATCAAACCGAACGGGAGTGCGACGTGTACCCGGTGCTAAAAAGAAAGGAAGCTACTACGAAAACGTATGCGCACAGGCTCCAGGTTAGCTGATGTATTGTCATTCGACGACAGCCTGGAGAAGTAATTTACATACAAAGTTTTCCAAGATAGATGGGTGAAAACTCAAGGAAGAACTTGTGGTCACTACTTAGAGCATAGTGATGGTATCTTTACTAGAAATTCCTGCAAAAACCGCATGCTTGCTCGTTTGCGCAGTACAAAGTTTTAGAGAAAAGTTGCTTCTGTATCTTCAACGAAAATTCAAGTCAAAACGGGACGCCACTCAATTGGCCCTTTGTAGTTTTGTAAACGGAGACCTTTCTTTGCAAAAGTCTACGATTTTCACAGAAGTTTTGCCATTAAAGGTTGGAACAACAACACTGTTTGTACTCTACGTTTCGGCTTAAACGAAGATGGTCAACAGTTTTATTCAAAGCCTTTCACAACCAAACGCTTTGTATATTGAGTGCCTGCTCAAGTATTGTGATAGCAGATTAGCATTCCAACATTAGCACCACTTGCCAAGTATGTTAATTAGCCACCGGATAAGTGTTAGCGTATTCTCCGGTCTCTCACAATTGCCTACCCTGCCTTCTGGTTTTTCAAATTTCTGTTATAATTTTGGGAATTATTTTGATAGCAGTCAGATAGAGTAAACAAAATGCAGTGTTATAAAATTTTTGGCATCGATAGGGCTTTCTAAATTTTTTGTTTTTCCGATATCAGTTTCCATACTAGGGCATCCCAATCCTCATAGAACATCAGGCGGCAAACAGCTAGGGTGTCATTTGATGCAGCTTCTTCTCCTCTTCTCGACACATGTTTCTCCTTTTTGATTCGTAAAGGTCTTGGGGCTGACTCGAAAATTTCAAAAATCAATCTTTCGAGACGGTAGGAATTCATTTGTTTTTTTTGAGTTAGCGTTTGATCATAATCGAATTTTTCGAAGTTCCAATTTGTGAAGATTTCATAGTGTTTGAAACCTTTGTATATTTCACGACTTCGCAAATGTGAAGACTTAGGAAACCTGTTTTTAAAAATACTGAGAAGCCAGCTATAGATGCAAAAAGTTGGGTTTTATAGCATTTTGTTTATTATATCCAACTGTTTTTGAAGCGTTCCAAAACTTCAGAACAAAAATCTCAAAAAGTAGCTGAAGTTAGGGTACGTAAAATGCATGGGTTGGAGCTTGTGGCGATTATTCGAAAGAACACTGAAGGAATCCAAGCAAAAATTTCACCGCTGGAAAGAGGAAGAAGTTCTGCAGAGAACATTTTTTAGTGTTTTTTGTTTATTATATCCTATATTTATCCTATCCTATGTTTATTATATTTTTATTATATCGTCAAAAAGAGTGTCTTCAAATAGCACTCTAGAATCCGCATCGACCAAACAGGCTATCCAAATTGCACACGCAAACGGTTACCTGCTGTCGAAAAACGAAAACACAAACGTTCGTCACAAGGATAATGCTACAGTTTTCAATGATGTCAGTTGCGAAAAGGTGTCATTCCTTATGCCATTCATATCGGATGAGTTAAGCGCTGCGATTAGAAACTGCGTTCATAAAGCCGGCCTGCAAAATATGCTTAGAGTTGTCGAAGTCCCACCCCCAAACCTCAAGCAGATCCAGCCTGTTCCAAAACAGACTATAATATATGCAATTCTAACAAACCGGGAGATTGCATATGTCGTGGCGCTGTGTACTTGATATCTTGTAAACTGGGTGGGGAAGAATATATTGGAGAAACAGGAAGACCGCTGTATGTACGAATTAACGAACATTTGGACGGAATGAGAAAATCGCGAGTGTCCACGCCTCTTGGCGCACATCGTGTGCTTTGCCATCAGGACATAGAGTTTCAAATTAACGTTGCTATCCTTTCGAAAGAAACCGACATTACGGCACGAAAGACCATAGAGGCTTGTTGGATCACGTCCAAATGTCCCAAACTGAACAGAAAGGAAGAGAAAATGGCTATCAGTAGTGAGCTCGCCCCATTCTTATCATTGTGTGGATTTGAGTCTGACGTTAAAAGGGAACCTCATTCCATCACAAGAGTTAGCATATACTGGACTGACCAAGTGTCAGAGTGGTGGACAGCCACTTGAAGTGTATCGCTGGAGGTATGTCTACCCTTGGAGCGTCGAATGTGCTGACTCATTTTCCAGGTCTTGAAAAAGGCGACCTTGCCGAAACGTCGACCTGTTTGCTGTACTGACGTTATATTGATAAACGGATAACGATCTTGGAACGCTTACTAACATACTGAGAACTAACCTATACTGAACATAAAATGCCAAGATTCAAGGATGGTCGAGCATGGAAAATCATTTTTTAGTGTGTGTGTCTATCTTTATTCTGAACGATTTGAAGATAAGTCTCAAAAAGGCACGGACTTTCGGACCCACCCAGGGGAGCGTTTTGAAAAAAGCAATTACTCCTTGAACTGACCCTCCTTTACCGCATCACCTGCTGCCTTGGAAACATTCAATTTCTAACTCGTCTGATTTCCGTGATTTCTGAGATAAGGCTTAGTTGAGCTGCTCCGACATATAAGCATATATAGAACTAGCTGGCTTACCCGGCTTCGCCCGGCCTTTCAAGACACTATGATAAAGCTCTCATCCCTATCCCTGTACAACCTTCCTCTGTGCCCACGTCTACATGCCAATTCACTGTTCCCGTTGTTTTAGTAATCAGCATGCCGGATCACCCCTGTGGCAACTCCCAGACCCGTAGCTCAAACTCCGCAAAAAATCAATAATCGGTAAAATCGATATTGATCGATGACGAAAAGTAGCCTATGACACCCGCCCCGCCCCGAAGTGTATGTGTGCCAAGTTTGGTCCGGATCGGCTCAGAAGTGATTTTCTATTTGGAACATACGCACATACATACATACATACATACAGACAGATAAACAGACATACAAACAGACACTCTTTATATATAAGATGACAGAAGTTCACCACCCAAAACCGGTACCAAAATGTAAGTGACACCACACGGTACTATCATATAATTTCTGCTTTGAACATGATCACTTTAAATTCCAACATCTACTAAACATGATCACTTTATAGTACTGTTACTCATCTTTATGTTACCTCACTCCAAAGCCACATGCCCCAAGGTTAAAGCTACAGCGCCTTTCCTTCCCTTGTGGACGTTAACCTTTTTTAGTTTGAACTTTAGTTCCATTTTCAGTGCTACGTGCAAGCATATTCAGCACGGCTTCACTTAGAGCGCGTTATCGTAGTGCATGTGTAATTTACTTCCTAGTTAGAATAAACTTCGATGTAGAGGACTGTTAGTTATTTTAGCTAAGAAAATGATACTTGTTCCATGTGCTAAACCCTCTTTGGCGAGATTCCGATAAGTGTAACGTCTTAATCCATTAGCACGCAGACAAACATCATGTAAGTAAAAGCCAATGAGAAAAGAAAAAAGCCGAGCAGCTAGCTTTATTCATAGTCAATTCAAACAAGATAGGTATGGGGTCATGCAACATGCTTGCTTGAGAGAAAGGGTTAGTTGACATACTGGATAGGAAAATCATATTCATTCGCTGCGTTGATGTTTTATAGAACGGTTACTGCATACATGCTGTAAAGGTAAAGTGTACTTCGTACATTATACCAGTGCGTCACCTCTGCTTGAGAGAGACTCGTATGGCCATCATGAACTCAAATGAACTTATGTGTGGTACATTTCTCTGGACATTCGCTTGAAATTGCGAATAATTTTCAGTTTCAATCGTCCAATTTTTTGATCTCTGACATAAGGCTTAGTTAAGCTGCTAGGAAATAGTAATGAAACTTCCTTTATGACACCCTAACATGCTTCTGAGTAATGTAAATCATTATTTAGTGATTTCCGTGGCAGACAGATAAAGATGAATAGCGCGTTATTATAAAGCATTAATTGCTTAGATGGATAAAATGGTGCTATATGAATATTCTAGTAGTAAAGATTTAAGATAGAATTGAGATTTTTTTGTGTTGCGCCAAGAGTGTGTACATAAAATAAAAAATAAAAATTAAAGAGTAGTTGTTGCAAAATGTTGTTTTCGTCGGACGATATCACATTTACTTTGATAAAAATTTTCTAGAAATTTTGCGTTTATTTCGCTAAATGATCTTAAAAAAATTGTGCGATGATTTGCAAATAACTTTAGAAACGCTCTAAAAACATTTTCAAGGAATGTAAAATTGCAATTTGTCTTGCTTTCCAAAGAAGTTTTAAATAGGACTAACTAATTCGTACTCATTCAAAACTTTATTCGTTCCTTTGAATCTTTGGGAAGAAAACTCTGCCACTATTGAAAGGTCAAAATTACTTATTGCCTAAGCACGTTGCAGCAACTTAGCTCAGAATTCTTTCACAACACAGTGATAAATCCCTCAACAATTTTTGTCAACCTCTGGTCTGCATTTTGAATTGCCTAAATCCATTGATATGCTCAATTCACAACTTTTTGGGTATTTGTATTTCAAGCACACATATTAAAAATAGTGCATGAATTCATGCCGAAAAATAGACCTAAGCTCCATTCGGGAGCTCATTTCGCAATTCCGAATTCCAGCTCTTTTCCGCACTTTTGCAGCAGCAGGCAACTGTAACTGCAGCTGCAGCTTTCGTTGACGTGGATTTCGTCGAAGGAGGCGGAGTGAAAAGAAAGTCAGGCCGGTTTTCTCCGCTCAGAAGCAACGTTGGGAGACCGGACCAACGCAGTTGGTCTTCTTCTGGGCCCTAAATATACACGGTATAGAGGACTGGGTAGCTTAGATTTTGGGTGTACGCTGCCTTTAAGATGGCATGATCTTTACTGATGGCTGACGCTCCGACGTCCTCGGCTTCGTCGGAGTTCGGAAACCTACTCAGACACCGCATCTGACCAGCGATCAGTACAAAACAAATGAGATCGATAGCATGAGTGGGAAGACAAAGCGAGGCTCACCGTCATACACTGGATTTTGGAGCCAAGACCCGTTTGAGAGGAAGTTAGCCACTGCGAGTATCGCGCGAATCGAAGCCGCGGAT